CGGCGAAACGTTTGGGAATGTACCACGTCCACGGTTCAACTTTGGAAATGATCATGCAGACAATGGACTTGGACAAGGTGCGTTCCTCTAAGTCTTCCTACCAATATGACCACGTTGCGAATACAAACTCAAAAAACTTTTATACAATGAAACGAGACTGCGACCACACAAAAGGCCACACCATCTTGGTCTTCATGCCTTCGATTAAAGATATATAGATGGATACAGAAAGTTTAGTTAATTCACCTATATTTTAGTGTTTTTGTGTGTGTTACTGTCTGTGCGCAGAACCGGTCCTAACTTAGAGTAATTAGAAAAAACCCAGGGTCATCAAGGCTTAATGATCCAAGGAAAAGCAGAAAATAAAGAAAAGCAAATAGAGATGACCGAGATTGCGTTAGTCTGCAAGTAACCCCGGTTAAATTCATGAGATGATAGCGTGTACACTTGAAAGTCAGGTTACGAAACTACCAGTCCGAATCCGTTAGTCTGGGTTATTATGCTTATTAAGCACTCTTTTTTTTATATAATTTGACTTTGACTAGATTAATGCGTTGTATAAACCAAGATGTTCGACCATTTTGCGTTACAACCTCATCCATGCTTAGATGAATGCTTATAAGAAAGTTTTGTATATTATGCTTTCACCATATTGCCCCATATATCTTAGGCTTTCCGGTGGTGTTCTAGATTCTATGCTTTGTAACTTCGATATGATGAGGCGTTTAGGATTAGCTCTTACAGAGTGCGGAGCTATACATTTCCTCTATTAAATTGCCCCGCCCATACATTAACTAATCTAGGTCCATCAAAATCTTGTCTGCTGAACCGAATTACACTCTGCCATACTACTCCTACCATCTAATCAATTATCATACTATTCCAATTACCAAACTTTCAACTCTGAACTTGTGCACTAACGAGCTTGAACAAATAAAGACGCAATTAAGCATGGACATACACGCACACACATACGCAAATGCGGACCCCAACATATGCAACTGTATCATTCATTGCTGTTACTTTTATAATTAGTATATTGTATATTATTATATTATTATACTATGTATTCTATAATTGTGTAATATCGCCTGTGTTGACGCTCGCATTTTCATATTATATTATATTATATCGCATATTCTTCTACGATTAATTCTGTTGCCAGCTTCATTATCACAACTATTATTTCAAAAACCACCTAAACTGTCGACGTTATGTTTTCCCATGCATCCTTGGTTTAGCATGGCCGGCGGCATGAGCAGTGAAGACTCTGCCTATGGAGCCATGCCTGACGATCTCGGATCGGTCCAGACACAGCAGCTCCGCAGTCAACTTGATCCCCCAGGGTCCTACTATTATCCAGCCCTGGCGCCGCAGTCAGTGGGCTCTCGGCGCCGACAAGCCCCCGTGGTCTCAGTGGCAGGACAATCGGCTATGGCTAACGTTCTTTCTGGAGGTATGTCGGCAGCCAAAGCGACCAACAAACTTGGTATGCGCTTACATTAAGTTAGACTAAGAGGCAGTCAATGGGTCTGATGCAACATCACTTTTCATTTTGAGGGAAAAGTTGCTTGGTCGGTATAACAAGTCATTTCACAATAAATCTCAAAGAGCTTCTTCAAAACCCAGCTTATCTTCATAAATACGAAGTCGATTATTTGTCCTATTGTTTATTACATGAGGAAGTGAAGGGTTGAATGCCACCGTGCTGCAATTTAAGTTATCCTAAAATGTCCCTTCATCATTAAGGAGGAAATAGCTAACAGTGAGTGAAATCTGCTGATAGCCTCAAAGTCCTACTAAAAACAAATAAAAGTGAGTAGATCCATCCTGAGGAATAGATATAAAGAATTCCATAAGTAATAATAATTGACGATTCATCAGGTTATGGTTGACGAACGCAGTCATTCAACATGATCCTAGACGCTCCTATATGATCCTTATCCTTCTCATCAGACCAGCTAGCTTCATTCCATTACATTTGTAGCTATCCTCCAACAAATTATTTAAATAAAGACCACCTGCGAACCCTCCCCATCCTCACTCATCTGCCGATTCGGCCAATCAAAACTCACCAGCGGCACCAAACCTAGCATTTGACCTATCAGACTGTGACCTCTCGCACCAAGCGGAGTCATCCAATGAGGAGTCGACATTCGCACCACGCATGAATTTAAGCAGAAAGAACTAACTCGCCCGGGCCTCTCCGGGATCCTATCTTTCTTACATTGCCACTACCTGTCATACTGCCCTCAACATGAGTGGTTTTCCTCATCGAATCGCCTCCGACCAATTTCCTATGCTTGTCTCAAGTACAACCTGAGACACTTTGTCATAACAGCGCTGTATTGAAAATTGAGTCAGCTCCTCTCCTCAATGTCGATCGTCTGCAGCCTCTAACATGTACCACTTCTAGATACGCCTCTGTTTTCTTCTAAAGAGGACCTCGCTGACACAGTGTCTATTCTCCAAGCAAAGTCCTTGAACGAACGTTCATTGAGTCCAAGTCTACAGGGCTATCCCTGCTCCACAACAACAGGTGACTGCTACAAAACCTACTTCAAATCAATGTCGCATTTCAACTCTGCGCCTCTACAACATCCTTTCTTGGATACCTCATTCAAGAAGACTGTCTCATCACTATACAACTTTGACAAAACGCTCTTACATTCTCTAATATTTCTTACCTATGACACAGTATTACTCGTCAAAAATGAGTTGGATCACTTTACAATGATACAATCTACCCTGTACGAGGTAGAACAAGAGCGTCCTAATTTACTTTGATGTAGATGTTAATGAGGCCTACGGATCAAGGTGATTCGAATAGTTAAACTTGGTATTTTGTTTGAAAAGGCGAGTATTAAGGATTCGCAAACTGGCTTCATCTGAAGACGAATAAGCGCGAATAAGTTGTCCGCATACCGTCCCACGACCCTGATCAATCCATGATTATCTTTCGTATGTTACGTAGCATGTAACAATGAATGGTAAAAAACAAATTATTTCAGTAAGGATGCAGTTATTCGGTCATAAATGCATCCACGGCCACCTCACCTTGTTGCAAAGATGTAGGGAAGACATAAAATAAG